TTGCTTATAGTACAACATTTTTAAAGCGTGTATCCTAAGATTTTTTTTTTTTTAAGAGTCCTAATTCTCTAAAATCAGCTTCAGCCTTAGTTTAACCCATCACTTGTTGTTATTGGAGACTAATTGTTAAATCTGTTACTGTTTGCTCTTCCAGGTTGAGGACCTGAAGTGGGAGGTGGAACAGAGGCAGAGGGAGATTGAAGCTCAGAAACAGCAGTTGGAGATGATGGACCAGTGCCACCACAAGGAGCTGGACAACCTGCAGACAGCTTTGCAGGCAAGTATTCGCTTGATTGTAAAATATGGACATGCTGATGCCGACCTCCCCTTTTCAAAAGGGTTTATGACTAACAAAGATTTATGTCTCTCAGAACATCAAGGTGGGGCTGGAGTCAGTGCAGTTGGAGCTGAGCACCACCAGGAAGGACAAGTTTATGCTGCAGGCAAAAGTGGGTGAGCTGAGGAACAGCATGAAGACCGTCCTGCTGCAGAACCAGCAACTCAAACAGGACCTCAAACAGAATCGTCTAATGAAGGTCAGTCACCGCTTTTCTGTGAAAAGTTGTCCTGCTTTTTTCACAAGCTCTCCAGCTCAGTAACAGCCAGTAGCATCAGTCTGCAGATATACTGATCAGGCAGGATGGCTCTCACATGCTGCGCATTTAATACTGAAAATATTCAGGTGACAGATATAATTTAAGAACATAACTGAAGTAAATGAAAAGAGTGCTGTTATTTTAGCATTTCACACAGACAGCAGTAACGACTGCTGTATGTTGCTAGTCAGCTAGGTGTACCATTCCTTATTACAATATGAGTAATGCTTACAAAGCTGCCAGCACCCTCCTTTTAGACGGATTTAAAGCCCAGCGTTTTAAGTACAATGCCAAATAAATGTCTGTTGAACATAAATGATAAAATGCACCCCTGTAATGATGATGATGATGTTGAAGAAGCAGCGCATGGATTTGAAGAGTGATGGGAGTCCATCTAACCCAGTGACACCAGTTAAGATCCCAGACTGCCCAGTGCCCGCTTCCCTGTTGGATGAGTTGCTGAAACCATCAACTTCTGTCAACAAGGAGCCCCTCAACAACCTGCACAACTGTCTACGGCAGCTCAAGTAAGCCCCCTGTTCAGGCTGAAACAGCATCAGCACACCTACATGAAGCTTTTTTGTGTAATGCTAAATGGTTCTGTAAATGCCCGAATACATGTAATGTTTTTTTTTCCATCAGGGAGGAGATGGATAGTCTCCAGAGGCAGATGGAGGAACACACAGTAATAGTACATGAGTCAATGAGCTCATGGAGAAACGCAGAGGAGGGACTGACTCAACTGGGGCTTCAAAACAGCATCTCCAAATCATCGACACCACTTAACATGGTGGTGGAAAATAACAATGAAGCAGAACAGCAGCAATCATAACAAAATAACTTTTCTCAGGCCAACAGAGGGAGAGTGGAGTTTTATCCACGAAGGCACTTTGTAGCCCCGCTTCCTTCTCTTTTAACAATTGCCGCCAACATTTGGCATTCTCCCATCCGCACAGAAGTGCTTTCACAGAGTAATACTTTGTATACCATAGCTTTATTCTTTAATCTTTATTTCATGGTTGTTTATATTTTTGTTATGCTGCTGTCACATATTTATTTAGAGTTAAGAAATGACAACTTTTCATTTGATAGCCTTTCCAAGGGGATCTGCCATTTTCACTTTTATTATCATAGGTACAATTCTGGTTGTTAAAATGACCTGTTGGGCTGGTTTTCCTCCAAGTCAGCAGTTTTATTCACCAAAAGGTATTCAGTCAACCTCCCTGTAATATTAAATCGGTGGCTTTGATGCTGCTTAATGATGGCTGATGTTTGGTGACAGAAACAAACCGTGAGTCTGCCAAAAGACTGGCTATGAACTATTGTTCCATTTCTTTGTGCCTATCTATGAGTGAAGACGACCCACTATAATTTAACTGACATGGTTACACTTCTCAGTGGTTTATAAGCAGATTGTGTGTTCATGAACTTACAGTCAATGCACAGTTGTGTTTGGTTGTTTTTTTTTTTTTTTTTTTTTTTTTTTTTGTATTGCCTCTTGTTAAAATGCAGTGTTTCTAATGTTTGTTGTTACCATATTACCTGGGGTTTTTAAACTCTAATAAGATTAATCCCAGTTACAGTATGTATGGGGATATTTTGTCTAGCATGAACTGCAGTAATTTGTACGCAAAAAAGCCTTAAGCAATCTTAAATATGCTGTAAAGGACTACGTTGGTTTGTTTGAACTGTTGAGGGTGGGTGCAAGATGCAGTACATCATATTGTACATGTTTGTTTACTGAAGAATGATTTCTTGTAAAATAAGTGGATCATGTCAATTGACATTGCACACTAGATGATCAAAACTAAACTGACTGAGCAGGAAGGTAGTAAGATGAAGTAGAAATGTTAATACTTCTGATAGCAGGTGCAATCAGATGTGTGCATTTCCTGTTGTTACATTTGGTTCATACTGTATTTACCAAAAAATATCTACCCATGAATCTGATGTTATACTTGTTTATGGCTGTTTCATGGGTAAGGGGATAGGTTAATTGTATTCAGAGGTTAATATATACATGTTTCCTTTTTCTATGAAATGAATTATAATTGTTTAATAGTGTGAAGAAGATGAAATGCAACCCATAAATCAAAACTAATGGTAATTTTAGCACTAACATTTCATTGTAGAGGAGTCACTGGATGGTACAGTAGCTTTCTGCATAGAGCTGGTGTGTTGGTTTTCATTCTAGCACTAAAAAACCTTTTTGAAACACCATTGTAAGCTTATAAATTTCCAAAGGGACAATAAACATTTTAAGGAGAATGCTTACTGAGGCTAATAACAAACATATGGATATATTGTGCGCTTAAAAAAACAACTTTTGGGCGGTATCCTCCAAACTACCTTTGACTGTAACGTTAAATAGCATGTATAACATTTTTGGGGCACCTGCGCTCTATGCATAAAACTTGCTGCAAGTGCTCTTTTTTTTTCTTTCAAAGTTCGGAGGTGATCCATTTCGTTTTTAACATTTGTGTTGAGAGATGTGATTGTAATCATAAAATTGCACTATTAATATGTCATTACAAGCTTGTGCTCATTCAGTGTATGCTGTCTACAAAGACTTGTTCATAAATATTTCCCCAATTGTTTAATTTCACCACAAGTAAGCTGTTTTGTTCAGGCACTATGCTCAACCGAAATGGGTCCTCGCTCTATGCATTTTGAAACTGTCGCGGTGACACGACACCTACCTAGCAACTGTAGCCGGGGAGAGTAGGAGGCGGAGGGCATGGTTTTATTAAACTGGTAACGTTAATATTTTCAACTAGCGGTGCACAATGGCTAGCTAACTGCGGGTACATATTTCCGTTTATGTGTAGTATGGGGAACTAGAATCACTGGCTGCCCCCCCCCCTCCCTGTATGCATTAACTGTGCTATTGCTAACCGGTGGCTTCAGCTACTTGTCTTGCTAAGTGACTGATGACTGTTAGCATGTCCAACAAACATCTTCCGAGAATGGCTTGCATATCTAACATCTTCTAATTTCTCTCGCCTTAAATGGATAATATTATGTAGCGTTGGGTAACCGATGTTTACTCTAGTAATTGTATAAATAGCTTTGAGAATCGTTGTCTTTTAGGCTTTCCGGATACATGTCTGACCAAGTTGGCCTGCGTGCGTGGAATAGTACCAACAGGAAGAGCTTACTCAATAATATGGTCATTACATTTCTGTTAGTTCGCCACTGTTATTATTTTTAAATAGATTTTTCAGTTATTAACCAGAAAAATCTAAGTATACATGAGCTTGCTGGGCTGGGTTGTCGTTTCCTTGTAATAGTTAAAATTCACGTATGCTAAGGGAGAACAGGATGCTACATTCAAACCTTCAGGAAAGTTCGTAAATATTAGAGACGTCTTCACACGTATTAGTAGCTTTTAGTGTTTAACTCATGGACCAGTGATAAGTACTATACTCTACTGATCGTGATCAAGCGCAGCAATCTATGCAGTTGTAGGATACTAGGAATTTTCTATAGGCCTAACGTTCAACTCACTTTTGCGAGAATAAAATTCATTATCATAGCAAGGCACAAAACTTTTAGATAAAACGGAAGACGAACTCCGTCTGATAAACGTTTTTGTTGTGATACGGCTTGTAACAGCAAACATTAAAGGTGATATCGATGATAATAAATACAAGCCAAGTGCATAAGTTGTTTGCCGCAGGGACTAGCATGTCATCCCGATTGATGTCTTATCTACATAAGGATCGAAAATAAATAGCTATGATACAATAATTGCGGTAGTGTGGTGGTGGTGATTGCTTTAATAAATGAAATTATCGCTTATTTGAAAGTGAGTTGTAAACAGTGTTAAGGGTTTATCTCGAATGTCTAACACCCTTTGCAACAGTCAGGTGCAAAAGACGAAGAGTCGGTATTGTAGTTTGTGTCTCTTAAATTTTCTCTTGACTGCAAAATCTGAAGCCAACCTCAGACTTAACTGGGAGGGGTATCTGGCAAAGTATCTAATTTATTGCTGATTGTGTTTTTAGATGGAAATATGCTTCACTTCCTTATCGATGCCTTCATGTCGTCCAGACTTGAGTTTTCCCACAGGTCTGGAAGGCACTGTGCGCCCTCCCTTGAAACCGAGCATGCGCAGCACACGTTGTAAACAATGAGACTGTTCCAGGCCGTTTCTAGCTTTGTGTCTGTCCAACAGTTTCTTGTGCAAAGCTAGAAAAGGTTCCCCATAGCTCCGTGTATATTAAATAAAAATGTTCCTTGGTAAGTATAGGGACACATTTGTTACTAGATGTCATCACGTACACTTCGATTTATTTTATAGGGATCATCACCACGAAGACGTTATAAAATCGGTTACGTTACAGCTTGAACACCCACCTCGAATGTCCTACTTGGGCGTGACAGCATGCGAATGACCCGACTAATATTGTTATAATTGTGCAGATTTCTGTGTGTTTGTAATCGTTGACATTCCAGCCCAGATGACGGGCTTTACTCTGATAGTCTTCATCTAAGCAGGTTCCCTCGTGTTAGCTTTGCCAGGCTCGCTCCCCGGCTGCTAAAGCTGACTTGTTGGTTAGCAAGGTAGCTAGCATATGCTAGTCCAACATTAGTGCGGTTGGTCCTGACAAGATATAGGCTAAAATAGCAAGCAGTACTTAGTGCTGCTGTAAATATAATGTTGATTTACCAGTATGGTTATATAGAACCTTAGTAGCACATGCTGTATTGCATTACATGGATTAATTTGTAACAGGATTTTGGCTGTTGGGATACACAAGCAATGTTAAATATTTGTTTAGTCTACATGGAAATAATTGGCACAGAAAGGCAATGATTACTTGTTGGTCAGTCTCTATCATATTTTACAGTGTGTGACTGCTTGTTGGGAGTATGAAACGGATGAATGTCATTTAAGATTAATGTGCATACAGAGCACTTGCAGGCTGTTGGATGGATCACTATTATAAAGTTGTGGAAAGTTGAACTATCAAACTCACTAACATTTAGTTTAAAGTTTTGCCATCTTCTTGCCCTGTGTATTAATATTAGTTTAATGAGTAATGACCAATCTATACTGTACATAAAATAATTTAAGATCAGCCAATTACATATTTTTTTGACTGTAAAGTTGCTATTTGTAAGTAATAGTAGAAAGCTATGGATGTCAGATTGTCTAAATGATATTAAAGTCTGCCTGGAACTGTCGTTTTTAATTGGCATTGAGATATATAGTAAAAATCTGAAACACTAAATAAAGACTAATGCTCATACTTTCTACATGGTAATGGTTGAGGTTATTAGCAATTAAATTGCTGAAGTGTATTCTGTGGTGTGCTGCAGGGACCTGAAGCATGGAGGCTGTTCTGAACAGGCTGAGGGGACTAAGTGCCGATGAACTGCGTGAGGAATTTGCACAAGCAAACCTCAAGTGTGGCCCCATCACAGCTACCACTCGAGCCACTTTTGAAAGGAAGTTAGCCCGAGTCCTTGCCGGGTCAGAGAGCAGTGCCAGTGAATCGGACAGCAGCTCTTCAGCAGGTGTCAAAGGCAGTGCTGCCTCTGTTGCTGATCATACCACCCCTACATCATGTGCCACCTCAGCAAAGGCACCCACCACTGTTGCAACAATCAGCAGCCCTACTAAGGCTGCCATCGAAGAATTGGACTTCGGCTATGGTGTGGGTCTCAACCCTCCAGAAGAGGAGGAGATCTTGCTAAAGACAGCTTCAGACAGCTCTGGTGAAGGCAGTAACTCTCAGTCCAAAGCGGAAATTCCTTCACAACCTGCACAAGTGTCCCCGACCTTTTATTATGGAGTATGTCCACTGTGGGAGGATGTTTTGGCTAGAAATGGTAAGAGACATTCAGCTTGTTGCTTTGTGTGGTGTCATACAGATTTCACTGTTTTACTCTAGAGTTCAGAATATCTTGGCAGCTACTGCAAGGGGTTAAAGTGCAGTCATAAATATAGTTGGCGCGAGTTAGTCACATTGTCTTATGCCTGTTGATATTTGAAAGTGGGAAGATATGCGTCCATTCATGATGACTGCAGGTATAGGAGAAATATTTAACAGCCTTAATCTGCCACAAGAATTATTTACAGAATTGAAGGTTTTCTAAAGTAACAAACAGGTGCTTGCTCTGCTCTAAAAAATATTATTTTGAATAAATAAACCAATGTTCTGCAGTCTGTCCCATTATGCTGAATTTAGTGGTACACAATAATATTGTAATGAGACTATGGAGTTAAAAGATAAACCGCTGTAACTGTGAACATTCTCCAACATGTATGGAAACAAACATGCTGAAAATATATATATGTAATTTCAATTAAAATAAGAACATTAAGAAAATGATCAACAGTGTTGACTCAGACTTTCTAATTGTCTCGATTTAAAAAACACGTGACTCCTGTGAGCACTGTTTATTTGATCATTTCATTTTTGGACTTGCACTGAACTGAGTGCAAAGTCGTCCCCATCACTGTGTTGCTTGCTTGTTTATTCATGATTCTGTGTTTGTTATACTTGGCTGCTGTTATAGTCTGACGTCCACATTTGTTTGTTAAGTGGATGAAAGTATCTGTTGCTGTTTCTTTGGTGGTAAGCAGCAGGGCAGTAGGACTGCCTGACCTCTCTGGAATAGAATATTGATCTAAATTAATCTTGAGCTACTGCAAAAATCAATGCTGTTGATGTTAATTTGTCAGGGCAGGCCTTTATTGCAAATACAAAAGCAGTGGCACTTCGTAGATGCTCAGTAAATATGTCTTTATGGGCTAAAAAAAAAAACATCTTAGGAAGCCAGATTAATAAAGGATAACAAATGAAACAAAAGTAAACTACTCATATAAACAAATGAAAATAGAAGAAAGTGCTAATTCTGAATGTGTGTTTTGACTGTAGAGAGAGTACATGTATACACAGATAAGAAAGATGCCCTTCAAGCTGTAAAGATGATGAAGGGAGCCCGCTTCAAAGCCTTTTCCAACTGTGAGGATGCTGAAAGGTTTGCCAAGGGGATCTGTGACTATTTCCCCTCTCCCAACAAATCTGCACCCTGTGTATCTTCTGTCAAACCAGGCCTGGTCATTAGTAAAGGTAAGCAGATAAGATGTCTGGGACTTTTCTGTATAAAGTATCCTAGTCAGTACCCTCTGTTCTTTATTTTATTAGAAATTCATACTAGGTTTCTGCAAGTAGCTAGAATGTGCTGATCCATTGGGCCATGCTGTACTTTTGTCTCTAATTGAAGTACCATTTAATAATTGTAATTTTGAAAATGCAAATATAGTGGGGATATGCATCATTGTTAAAAGTTTTGTCAAAATCAGGAAAATGCTATCTTAGATAGCATGTGACTCAAACAGAAAACCAAAGAGTGTAACCCCATCACAGTTTGAACATGGGCCTTGTGCAGTATTTGGAGTTGTCAACAGCAGAGTCCGTCCTTCACACTCTTGTCCTTCTCCAGACAACATTGAGGTTGATAGCATCAACCGGGAGCGGGCCAACAGTTTTAAGAGCCCACGCACCCAGGACCTGACAGCCAAACTGAGGAAGGCTGTGGAGAAGGGCGACGAGGAGGCCTTTAGCGAGCTGGTCTGGAGCAACCCACGCTATCTCATTGGCTCAGGGGATAACCCCACTGTTGTGCAGGTGAAGTTCTAAAGTTCTGTGTTTCTTGCTGTACTCAGTCTCAGATAGTCTGTTTATTGCAACCTTCTGAGTCATTTTTCTAAATTTATAGTAGGATTACAAAACAGATTTAGGAAATTAAGATGCAGCTTGTTGTAGGCTTATTAAACTCTGTGGAAACTCGTCACTATTAATAGAGGTGCATAGCCTGAATGGGGATGATGTCACTAGTTTATATGTAAGCATCTTTTCCACTTGAATGCAAACCTTTGAGAGATGTTAACACTTGGTAAGGTGAAGAAAATGTATGACCTGGAGTATGTGTGCATTCTGTATAATGAGTTCTTAAAAACAATAGAAATAATAGAGGTGTCATTTGGTGGCAACACTCCTCTGGAATGTGCACTGTAAACTGTCGTAGTAATTAAAAAAAAAAAGCATTAAATGTGGAGTAGAGTGAAGAACAATGATGCAGATAATGTAGCATTTTAGTAGATTGTAACATTTGATGCTCTCTTATAAACACTAGTCATTATTTATTAAACCTCAAGTCTAGTTGTTAAAAAATTAAAAGTCAATCTGGGTGATAAATCTCTAATGTTAGGAGGTGAAGTTAAGTTCAGATGATTGATTTGGACACAATTAAGCATCCTCTGCTGTTGACAAGAAATTAGAGGAGTATGCCCTGAACCATGCGGTTGTTCCACTGTTTTGTCTGGCCAGGAGGGCTGCCGGTACAATGTCATGCACGTGGCAGCCAAGGAGAACCAGGTGGGAATCGCCCAGCTGCTCTTGGACACCTTGGAGAACCCAGAGTTTATGCGCCTAATGTACCCAGATGACAAGGAAGACATGCTACAGAAACGTATCCGCTACATTGTAGATCTTTACCTCAACACTCCAGATAAAGCTGTAAGATCTTTTACATACCAGCTCAGTCACACAAGATTAGATTGAAGTAGATGATGGGGCTGTGCTCACATTGTATTTTACTCCTTTTATCTGTATGTTTCAGGGATTTGAAACACCGCTTCACTTTGCCTGTAAGTTTGGGTGCCCAGACGTGGTCAATGTCCTGTGCTCGCATCCTGACATTGATAAGAACTGTAAGAACAAGGATGGCCAGAAGCCGGGTGATGTAAGGGGTTTTATTTTTACCCTCATTTAACTTGCTAACATATACACTGAGGAAGAAAACCTGCAGCATATCCTGCTGTCGGTTCTGGGGGTTATTACACATGATGTGTATATGTACATATGGGAGCTGTCTAGCAGATGCACAGCTTTGCACAGTACTGCAGAGCACTGACATCCTGGCAGTCGTCCCTCAGGGAGTTACAGTTGTGCTCATGTAGATTTTGACCTTCCAACTTGTTTTTGAAAGCTTTTGGCAGCAGTTGCTCACTGCACACTGTAAGCTAAACTTAGATAAGCAGTTTCTTTCCTCAGCTGATCCAGTAACAGCTCTGTGTGTACAGTCATCAATAGCTGTTTCTCCCCCTTTCCACAGCTCATTTGTAGCAGAAAAAATAAAACCCAAGAAGTGAAGCAGAAGATAAGTGAATATTTGGAGGGTAAGGACACACCCATGTGTTAACACAATAGAAGTTTTTGTTCCTGTTTTCTTTTGTTTCCAGAAGATTGCAGTCAGCCACCATTTAATGCACACACACACACACACACACACACACACACACTTGACACCCTGGTTAAGTTATGCCAAGTGTCAGCCAAATTGGCTGATAGTGGGAATGAGGCAACGCCATCATTAGCAGGTTCAGATGCCATCACAGGGTTAGTGTTACTGGCTGTTGTTACTACTGAATAAACTTCTAACAAGTTTGTATTGAAAATCACTTTACAGCTCTAGTTGTGTGTCTTCAGCCTGACAGTCTGGGGTGTAAGACCTTCTGACAGACAGTTGTACTGTGGCTTGCACTGTTCTCTGATTGGCATGAGCATGGCATTTGGCTTGACGTTCTGCATGCTTGATCTATCTGTCCTCGCTGTCCTTTGCACAGACTGACAGCACTGTATGCAACAGATATTTGACAACACACACACAATGTTGATGCTCTTTGAAGTGTGTTGCCAGTTTAAGGTTTTACTCTATTCCTACTGGTGCCATCCTCGTTGAAAATCTATTGTATGTTGTCATTGTCTTTTAGAGGGCTGTGAATAAAAGTCATGTCAAACATGTAAACTAAACCTGAAACTGTCTGTCCTCTCCCAGACCGCTACTATATCCCTTTGCTGAGGTCAGCTGACAACACCTCACAGCCCATCATTGGTGCTCCATGGTCATCTGAGTCCTCAGAAAGTCTCTCACTGATCCAGCAGCACACAAAAGGCCCCATGGATCCAGTGATGACTGTCACAGCCTTTGCTGGCCCACTGAGTCCCTCTAAAGCAAGTTCTTTACCTAATGACCATTTTCTCTGTGTGTTTTCAGTTAAATCATAAATCCGGCAACTTTAGAGATCAGCTGCATTATTTGAAACAAACTGCTGCTAGAAAACATAACCTTCTCCTGTAGGCAAATGATTTTCGGCGCTACTGGAAGACACCACCCAGAGACCGGGCTGCCTTTTTCCACCACATCCTTAAGTCTGATCCAGACCGTGGAGCAGAGAGAGTGGGCAGGCAAGTCCAAACCCTCTCTGCTTTCATATTGTCTTTGTAGCTGACATTTCTAATGTGCATGTTGTCTGCCTCTGCAGTAGTGAGAGGTAACTGAAATAATGCTAAGGAATGCAAAGCTACTGTGATACTCATTGCTGTTGTTTGTGATGCATGAATAGAATACAGTGGTGGTAATATGCTGTGCGCTAGCAGAATGAACATGTCTCAGGGGATTATGGACGTGCCAGGCTGTGTATAACACACACTTGGTTCAAATCTGGTTTATTCTGTGGTCCATGTCATCTCCACTCATAATTCCTGTCACTGAACTGTCTACAGTCAGTACAAAATTACTCTCAAAGAATAAAGACAAAAAGGTTTGCACTACTACGCTGCATGAAGACCTTGAAAGCATCAAATTAGTATTGGAAAATGACTTGTTAGGATGTCTGTCAGCCTTAATAAAACATATTTAATATCACATTGGTAAATATTGTATTAAATACCTGTATTAAAACCTGATACCTCTGTGACAGAGATATGGCTTATTTGTATGTGTAATTATCTAAGTGATAAGTCACCCTCTGTTTGCAGAGACCTGGCTCATGAGGGGGGACACCCCTGGGCTGAGTACTGGGACTTCCTTGACAGTTTTGTGGATCTGTCGTCGACTGAGGGGCTCCGCAGGCTGGAGGAGTACCTGAGCAAGAAGGATTTCAGCTTACAGGCTCATGAGGAGGCTGGGGAGAATGAGACCAGCAACAGGTTTAAAACCCCCTCTCCAGGTACCCTTACCTGCTCTGTCAGGCAGATCCTGAAAAAGTATGAATTTCTGGTCATCCTACCTGATTGTGTGTTCATAAGTGTAATGTTCTCAGCTATAGTGTGTTGTCAGATGTGAAATGGACAAAGGGTTTTTCCAAAGCTACTTAATCTCCTGCCTTGAAGGCTTGTGTGATAAAATGACACTTGAGTAATGAGTACTTAAAATTCTGTTACGGTTATTCATCATACCTGGTTTCAGGAAAGCCCAAAAAGTTCTGCAACTCCATCTCTGTTGGTGCCTTCCTGGATGAGGGTGATGACATCAGCCTTGAGGAGATGAAGAACCGGCAGAATGCAGCACTCACCAGCATCACCTCCTCTGTTGCATCCAAGGATGTCCTGAAGGGAGCAGTGGGCGGCCGTGAGTTCCACATCCTACCCATTGCGCTGCATCACCGTGGGGCTGACCTGATCGAGACAGCAGCTGAGCAGGACCTGCTGTGCTGCTGCGATGACGGGCTCCTGTTGCCCGGTGTTGTATGCAAAAATGGGGTGTGCTCCTCCTCCAGAGATAGGACTCACAATGGAGACAAAGTGTCCCCTCGACCATCCCCGTCCTCCTCCTGTCTGCTGTCGCCTATCTCCAACCTGATGGTGGAGTTTGAGCGCATGTCGCTGCAAGAGCCAAGGAGCAGTGGGGGGAGCCGGCACTCGTACAGCTCCTCCTCAGCCACAGACCTGAGCTGCGGACTGAATCGCATGTCTCTCGGTCACAGCGGTGAGGACAGCGAGGCTGTGGAAGGCCCGAGCTGGAGAACAGAAGGAGGAGGGACAGAAGAGAGGCGCAGCAGTGGCAGCTCAGAGGAGTACTTTACAGCAGAGGAGGGTCTTGAGGTGCTGGGCAGGACTAGGGGGTCAGGGGTGCGCAACTTTTGTGCTAGGTCCAAGTCATGGGACCATATGGGGAGGGACCTGAGCAGCTCAGGATCTTCTTCATCCTCATATAAGTCCTTAGACAACTCCCATGAGTTATCCCATGAGAAAAGAGGACTTTTCATTGATGGGTGAGTCACACGGGTTCCTCTGCATGCAGTAGGGTATTATGGGATTATAGATGGAGCAGATTGTTAGAGCTAGACCTGTTTTTAAAAATCCCTCTATTAATGTTTCTCTAGATGTTGAACTATTATCTTTAGACTCATTGTAATTGGAGCTAACTGGCTAACCCTGTCTGTTTTTTTGATTATGGTCTCATATTCTATTCCAGGCATGTATACAGCAAAACCAGCTCACTCTAACTACCACTGAGTATTAGCTAAAGGGTTTGATGATCCCCAGTTGATTAGTTACTGTGATAGAGTAGAAACCGACACTTGTGATTTACTTTCCATGTTTTCTCAGGAATTCACCAACCAGGTTGGACAGAGAGGTCTTGTCAGCAATAGAAGGCATGGATGTCGATCCCCAGAAGTATCCCAGCATTCATAAGTGGAAGAGCACAATGTCGTCATACTCTGCATCAGACATGCAGAGGTTAGATCTCTCTCTTTTTTCTTTTGCAGTGGTTGTTGTACTGTACATAAATGTGTTTATGATGCTGTCCTGAAAAGTGTTTTGGTCTTAGTGACTGATTCAATCAGATTATCATTTTCATAGTGTGGGAAAATATTTATGCACACCTTTCATGTCTGTCAAATATTAAAATACTAACAAAAAATCCCAAGTTTTCAGAGTACTCAGGCTCCAGCACTGTCTGTTCAGAGCCAGACTAAAGAAATTAGTCAACATATTTTACCAGCTGTTTCTATGGCGGTTTATACAGTCTTCTTACACCATACAGATGATTTCTGTGGTCAACCATCTGAAATAATACATGTATAATAGGCAGACAGTATTGACTTTACACTTTAAATATTGGGCAAAGTGTTCATTTGTATGGATTGTGATGCTCCTCTAATCGACATAAATGATTGTTGCATTTTTTTTTTCTCACAAAAAAGGAGCAATCATGGTTAATATGCCAGGAATTTAAACACAGGGCCTTTCAGCTTTGCAGCTAAAAGGAGCAGTTACAGCCACAAGACATTTTCGAAAGTAGTAGCGTAATGAAATACCTGTGGGTGGAACATTTTGCAACTGAAAGGATTTGCACTCCTGACTAAAGACTTTTCAAGAAATACTGTCACATGTTAAAATCAGGGATCCCGTGTCATATTAAAAAGTGTCAGCACTAACAAAAAAAAAAGTGTAAGAAGCTCAGTAGATTCAAAATCATAGGTTATATCATGTACGAAAAGTGACAAGAAAGGGAAAGTTTAAGTCGTGTGACGTAGCGCCTGAGGTGCAAATAATGGTACCAGCACTTGTGTGGGGTTTCTGAACAAGTGTAAATGTCAGCACCAGGTGCAGTCATTGTTCATTCTCTGGGGTCTGGTCATTTTGTGCTATGGGGCAATCAAATCTATACTGATTTAAGTTTCAGCATTAGTAGCACAGATCAAATATTGCAAATGTAATCACTGCCTGATGTGTGTTGTCTAGTTGGCCCAGCCCTATGGTGGTAAAACCACGACTCAGGATGCAGCATCAGACCCCCGGCTCTCCAGTCAGCGGCCTGATGTCTCCCACCGGCCGCTTAAGTCCTGCCCGGCACGCCGCCTCGCCTGACTTTAGCCCCAGTCGTTACAGCCCAGCCAATGCTAGCTACATCCAGCGCATTCGCCTCAAGCACTTGAACGAGCCGCCAGTCTAACTGCCTGCTCCTCCCCACTACCAACCTACAGTAGCTGCACCAAGGTGGCTACACCAGAGCTCAGAAACCACATACCTAACAGAAATATGCACAATGTCTGGAAGATTTGTATTAATGATGTATGGTACTACTTCTCTATGTAATACAGGAATTCTCATCACGTTGGGTTGTGATGTACACTCAAGACTTTCAAAATGGGGGAGAAAAAGAAACCTTGACAATTTATGTACTGTGTGAGTGTGTACCATTTTGAATTTATGGTAATGTTGTGGCAAATGTGAAGCACCTGTATCATAGCCTGAGTCCACTTTTTTGGATATCGTGAATTCAAGTCGCACTCCCCAGAGTTAGTCGGTCACTAAAACCTTGGTGGAGAATTCTCCACAAGATTCTGACACTGAAGATGTTCTCTAAAAAAAAAAAAAAAAGGTAAAATGTCACTATTTTAAAATTATTTTTTGTATGTTGGTTAGTAGCACAAAATTTAAATGTTTTTATTGATGGTGTTAAAACCGACTGCCATTTCTTATGTTTATCCTCAGTTCAGAATTGCTTTAATTTTAAAATGATAGACCAGTTCTGTCAGTTTGCGGCGGTCACTGATGATCACTGCAAACATACAGACTGAGATCGTCCATGTTTTTATTTTGTACTTCAATAAATGCAAACATTTTCCCATTTTTTAAAGTGGTTCGTGGACGCCTTGACTTAGACTGTGCAATTTAAATGTTTTTTTTTTCTTTTGATCACAAGCATCTCCCACTGTGTGAGTATGAATGACAGAACACACCCATCAGGAAACTATAATTTCAGTTTTATCTGGGCAAAACCTTAAAATTGGCCAGTCTGAGGCAACTGAAAGCTGTGTTGTGATTTCTTTTTTTTGCACTTAAGGATAGAAAGACTCCAAAAGTAACTAAACAGCAACTGTACCCTGATACATTTCAGTGCTTATATAGCCCACTATGGCAAACTTGTTAAAGAACTGCCTTAAGGTCACAGAGAACACACCTGATCAGCTGAGAGCCGCACAGGTGGATGTTGATCCTCAGTGGGGTCAACAGAACGTGCAACCATGTTCACAGTCAGTTAATGTCAAAACTTGTGCATAACAGAGCTTTAACAGCCAAAGTCGTCTCTTAAGTCTGTTGGATGGTTCAGATTGGCTTATAATAACCTCGTGCACACATGATAGGTTCCTGCATTTCTCCGCACGTTGTCCAACAGCAAAAGTGAATGTGAAAAAACCTGCTACATCCAAATTATATGTAACTTAGGGATACATTCATTGTATGAGGGCTTATCCATGTCTAGTACAAAAAAGCCAGTCATTTTTAATATTCAGCTAGATTGAGAGAATACCGAAAGAATTCTGAATGTAAATTCTTTTAACTAAAATTAACTGAGAGCACAACCTTCTTCACTGAGACGATTGTATCATGGTCCTCATGCTCTCAGGTCACAGCAGATCTAATTCTGGTCCATGAATGTGGAATTTTGCAAAAATGCACATTAATTAAGAGATGCTTCTTGTGCTTTTAGCATTCTGTGCTTTATTAAAAATGTCAAAGAAAGGTTCCATGGCGATTACTCTTTCTGTATGTCAAGATCTCGTTTGTTTTCATCTAATCAATAAAACATCCCCCTACTTTACTGCCAAAATGTTGATGCTTTACTTCAGTTGTGTCTGGTGCACCATACTATACAATTGCCACTGTAGCACACTTTAATGACATGTAAAGCTAAGAGCATGGCTAGCATTTACAACAACTATACAAATACACTGTTTTTGGTTTAAAAATCACTCATAAAAATCCAGTTACATTCAGGAGATGTTGCTAAGAATGGGTTAACACCTTCTGCTGGCATTCTATGGCACAGGTGTAATCATGACAACACCATCACACAGTCTCTCAGTACTTGTGGCTCGATTACAAAGTAATAACATCAAAAGTAATTTTCAAGACACTTAAGGAGAAAACTGAGCTTGGACGCTGCAGTCAACCAAGTCCCAGGAAACCACTGGTCGGTCCATCAGGTCCGTGTTAGTTTGTCCGGGGGCATGAATCCGGCGTCCCCCAGGGTTCTGAGGGCCCCCCTGCCGCTAGGGCGGATGGTGAGCCACGTGATACTACCGTTGTTCAAGCCTATACGCAACCAGCCCTCTGGAGGAAACTGGAGGGCCCTGAGAGGACAAAAGACAGATGTGAGTAGCTCAGAGCGAGTCCGAGTGCTGGATTTAACAACGCGTGTGCGATTTTCCAGCAAGTTGTCAAAAATGTACGACTGTATGTAGCAGCTAAAATATTTACATTATACAGAAATGTTCCCTTCAAGGATGCCATTAAGAGCACAGAAACACAATCTAAAAATCTTATGAGAAACAACTACAGCACAGTTTAACTAAATGGTTAGCAAAGCAGGAAGGCCTCAGCCAAGCCGTGACCTCCGGGTCGGCCAGCGACACAAACCTGCAGACAAAATAACGGATGACATTGGCATGACACACGATGATCTCATAGCTGTCCTCCTTCTGTTTGGGGTCAGCCCGGTGGATGTAGCGGCGAAAGGCTGCCTCAATGCGAGCTCCATCTTCATGGTACTGCTGGAGGACGGCAGAGAGGTTGAAAGCCACCTTTGTCACAAAAAAGGGGTTCTGAACAAACCCCTTGGTCAGTACAGACTCGATACATGATGCTGCTGTGCTTTGTAGGGAACGCATGAAGAGTTTCATTCCAAAATGAGACCAACTATGTGGAATACAATACTTCTAATCAGCACTGAGGGCAGAAAACTGCTGCTGCACTGCTCTCTGTAGGAAAGGTCAGTGCCTACATTTACACTAGTGACCCAATTCTGTCCAACATAAGGCATTAAGATGTTTACATGGGCTAACTGTTTCAATAATAACCCTGTTTTATATCATGAAGCACAGGCTAATCGTGTATCCTGGTCATGGTGTTACCATGTTATAAGCTTTGTTGTGCTGGAGATTTCACAACATAAAACCTCCAGCACCTCACAGTCATCAATTTACTTTCTAGCCATTATTTACTGAAGGCAGTAGAGTTTGAGTACTGTCCAGAGTAGCCAGCACTCTGTTTGTGGAAAGGCACCTGCTGTAAATGTTGAATATTTTTGCAGCTATAAGCTAAAACAAGCAGTGAAGAGGACAGCTGCACAGACATGTGAACTGCAGAAAGCCATGACAGTGGCTTAAAAAAATATTCACTTTTTGCACACTTTGTGTTTTTAATTGATAAAATATCCAATTTTGACCATCACTCTACACCCAATAACTCTTAGTGACTGCAACTGAAATCTCTCATTTACAGAAGTATTCCCTCCACATTGTAGTTAAATGCATCCCGTTTGCAATAATCTTTAAGATGTCTAGAACTGATTGGAGTCCATCTGTGGCAAATGAAACTAGATGGACATAACTCAGAAACCTTATAAGGTCCAACAATTCACACCGCACTTCAGGCTAGGAAGTCCAAGGACCTCTCTGTAAACCTCCATCTGGCAAACACCAGGCACAAGAAGGGTCCGGCTGCAGTGTGCAGACCACCTCAAGTTGTGCCACACACACTACACCACTCAAGTTACGCCCCTACAGATCAATCAGCAGACGAGACGTCACACCATAAATACCAAAAACAGAAGAAGGAAGAAGAGATTAGCTACCGTTAGTTTAACCCCACAGTGTGAAAGAGAATGATGAGACACGCATAGTAAATATATTAAAGCTGTTGTTTAGGATCAATGCTACTAGCTATAGCCAATAACATTACTGTTGGCACAGCTTAAAAAAAAAACTATATAAATTGAAGTGTACGTTATACTCAGATTATTTGCACCACTTTATCTTGCCTCAGACAGCCCTTTCTGATGGGAAACAGAAGTTGTTTTATCACCCTTTTTAAAGCCACTGACAAAAACACTCATTTTACCTCACAGAACATAAAAGCTGCTGGCCTACCGCTGCCGTTTTGTCAAATGAGCCTGGTGGCTTTGAAGAGAGCAGAGATGGATGCAACAGAGTGGCCTGTCTGACGAGTGGGTAATGCAGTGAAAATATAATATATCAAGATAATCACAGTGTTCTAAATATAGCTGATATTTATCCATCTAAGATCTATGGCTTTGTGACTGCTAAATGACTGGAATCCTAAACCTGTTGTAGGTTCCATTGTGTAACTAAGGTTAAAACAAAACCAAACAACCAAAAAAACAAACAAAAAAAGAAATCGCAATCATAGTCAAGGGGGTTTAACATGAGGGGTGTGTCTCGAGCGATATAATGTGGGGGCGTAACTTGAGGCGGTTTGCACTCCACAGCCACTGCTGGTCACCTGGGTGTGTCCTGTCCAGTCTGACAGAGCTTGAAAGGATCGACCAAGTCTGAATATTAATGCAGACTGATTGGCAAAATAGCAATTTTATCCATTTAAAATTAATTCTACTACAAAATAAAGTGTGCAAAATTTGAAAGGAACAGAAAGCTGCCTGAAGCCACTGTATGAAGACACAGAATATTAGACCTACAGCCCACTCGAGGTGGAGCGGGTGTAGCTTCTCTCACCACAGCCTCAGGCTTCCAGTGAGCAACAGGTGGAACTGGCTCGATTGGGGCGCCCTCTCTCAGCAAATCACAGCTCACCAGCTCCACTCCTGGGCCCGTACGACATTTAAGATAAGAAAACAATGTTAGTATACATTTTAAATGTTTAGCAATAATGCACCAGCTTGAATTGATACAGTACACGATCTGAGTTGCTGGCAACAGTGACACGACAACACAGATCAACAAGACATATACACACATGTGTATACATACATAAAAATGTTTCAACAGTATCATGTTTTTGTTGAAAAGACAGCTTCAGCAGCAGGATATGTCACAAAGAGCTATCAATTAAAGTGCAGATATGTTTAGTCTGTACGCCTGGGTCTCTGACAGTGTGGCACCCACTACCTGGGAGGTGTTTGCTGATTATACGTGCAGTCTCTGTGGCCCTGGTCATGCTGGAGTGGATCAGAACATCATACTTAAGCCCCAGTGCTGCCAACCTCTGGCCAGTCAACTCAGCCTGCTCACGACCTAAAAGTGAAGACGCAGCAGTCATTACAAAAACATGTGAATCTGTCTGACACTATCAGAGAAGATTTGGGTAGAACAACAAGTAAACACAGATAAATAGTTCCTTTGGCAGCTGTTGTCAGAGTGGTACACTACATGCTGTTATGCTATCAACAGAACACATTGATTAAGGCTAGCCTCAATGTGAACTTGTGACCCCCAAACTCCTGCCTGGTCAGCTGTCCAGATGACAATAGGGGAAATAAGGACCTAATGGAGTGAGGATCCTCTCCTTGTCATTGCTCCCGCTCAGGTTGTACTGGGAGTGTCTGATGAGGAGAATGTTGCGTGTAGCTTTTGGTTTGCCGTTGTCCTGCTCTGAGCTGGGGTCTTCTGTTGAATTCTCCTTCTTCTTCCCATTAGACAGTGCAAATGGCTCTCTCCTAAACAGAGAGGAAGATGAAGTAATCTGAGATTAGAAATGGATTTTGTCTCACATGGTTAATTTGAGGCATGGCAATCTACAGTAGGTTAACATAATTACGAACCGGAATGAACGTCTGGTTTTGAAGACGCCTACGTCAAACTCGGCTTTAAAAATGTGATATCTTAGCTGAATGGCCCGTCATAAATATAGCTCGAATAATCATCATAACATATCATAAATCGTTATAGTCCACTCCCAGTTTAGACATACATCCAAACGTACTTGATTTCATTTAGAAAGATGTTAAAGTTTGTCCAGTTTGTATTCTAACTAATATAATTGCACAGTGAGGCACACCCACTTAATGGCTAATATATATATTATAGAGTTTTGGCGTGGCGCCCTGTCAATACGAAAGTGAAAGGATGAAAATGGAGAGAATATAAGTACATTAGCTTTGTTAAAATAACCAAGCAGTAAGAGACAACACGTGTAGAGGTATGTACTTGTCCCAGTTAAAGTCCCACGTTTGTCCAGTCGGGGCTGGTGTGTGTCTGGCAGGTGACCACGCCGGCTGCGCAGCTTGAAGAACGGTCAATCTCGACCACCAACTGGCCGCCTCTCCGCGATGTTCTCCGAAGTATCCACGGGAGTCGGCAGCGGCGAACAACAGAATAGCAGAGCCTCCAGCAAACCCGCAAATAAGTTTTAACGTTTTCCTGTAGGACATCCTGATAGCAGCTGACGCGAACCGACTAACGCTAACGTTAGCTAACTAGCTCGTCTTAGCCGGGTGTAAGGTTAACAATGCGTAACGATATCTCTATGTAGAATTAGTTGTCTTTTGCTAAATGACGTCTGACTATTAATTCCAACCCCAGCACGAATCACGCTGTTCGTGGCACAAATATCCACAAGGCGGCGGTTCTTAGCCGGACACAAAAATACAGTCAGGACAACACATGGCATGCTAATCTAGGTAATTTTCCACAAACAATACGGTGGCCTCTCGGAGCCAAAAGTAGTGACTTTCGCAATTCGCTTAAGGCTCGTTATCTGCCACTCGAGGGCGCTCTAGCTCCCAAATCCAGAGTAGTAACCATAGAGGAGTAGCCTTGACTATTTAAGTGGGGCCAAATGTAAGAAGATCTGATATGGTTGGTTAAAGTTTATTAACGCAGCACAAACCGACACATAATATAGGCTACGTGTAATTCAACTATAATACTTACCATAACTTTAGATAGTTTTTCATGTACTATTTTAGTGTCAAGAGACTAATAGATAAAGCATTTAAATTCTGGATTTATCATTTAAATACGTACCGACTGCTATACAATAAGGATATATAATTTAAGAATATTAATACACAGTGCAGAACACTGTGCCTGGATTGTAGGAAAGCAAAGCAGCTTTAAACTGCCAGATAATAAATGGACTTTGGTACTGTTCCCTCAACCAAGGCAACACATATCTGGAGCTTCCTGGACTATATCTTCCAAAACACGAACAAATCGAGGCGTCCTAAACTTTGAGACATATTTTGATATTAAATTAATTTCATTTTAATGCACATTTCGATGGTTTGAAGTTCACATTTACTGTTCGCTGAATCCCCGGGTAAAATGATTGTAGAGTGAAAATGATTCATAAGAAATGGCAAATAATTAACACTATAGTTCCGATGATTTTCTTAAAACACTTGAAGGCTTTCAGAGAGGCTCCACCTTTTCGAGCGGTTCGGTGACCTCAGCAGTGGGCTGGATTGTAAGGGTGGGATTTCCAGGCTTTCAGAGAGCTTTATGTATTCCTGCCTCTCCGTCTTAGGATCTATGCGGCTTCAACGACAGCATAGACGCGCTGGTTGTGCCTTTCATAGCCACAGAAAGGCCTGTTTATTGAACACTGCTTCTTTTCTCTACATGCGACTCCAATCGGAATAAATACACTGAGGAATGTGGAAATTACAGAATGCCCAACAGCGCTGGAAAGAGATTTAAACCCACCAAATACATCCCAGTGTCCACTGCTGCCACGCTCCTGGTGGGATCGACCACTTTATTTTTCGTTTTCACGTAAGTTTGCTTCTTGTTCTCGTTCTTAGCCTGCTGGATCTTCATAACGCTACACTATGTGCCTTCAGATTATACAGACGACAGTGGATTGCAGCCCGAAGTTTGCATGTGTGGAATCAATCACTTAGGTGAAATGATTGGTTTTATAGGAAGGTACCTACGTTATCCCATCAGGGAATCTCGCAGCGCGGTTCTGAAACGGGTTTCCAAAAGCAGCCGTAGCCTATACGCCCCCGTCATGTGCGCCTTCGGGGAGAACATTGAGCCATAATACCTGCAAGCAAAACTTCCAACAAGCCATGCAAGTTTGACCGCATCTTAGGCCGCAGACACTCACTTTCTATTGAAGAAATGCTGCAGGCAGTTGTTGATAACGTTAAAATGGTTGCAGTGAGCCAGCAGGCAGTTGTGTCTGATTTATGTATTGTCTGTTGGTATATTTTCAGTGTCACACTCCTGTCAAGAAGAACTATAATCTAACTATCATCCAAGGCAAAGAGTTCCCAGAGTGGAGACCTGCAGAGGTCCCACCTAGTGTGTAGGCTAGGAAATGAGATCAGATGAGGTTTGTGAGTAAGCCCTGACCAAAGCCAGCAGGTCCTTACTCTTTCAAAAGCACCTGTTACTACAGTAGAAGTGGATTTCTGTGCTGTGACAAGCAGGTGACAGTGGTTCATGTACGCCATCTGCGACCAGAATTATATGGTCACATCTTATCAACCGGTATCATAATCATGCCAGTATCCCCAAAGTAGGATCTGTTGCATGTCTCTCCATCTAATGAATGATCCGACCCTGTAGCAAGGAAAGATAACAGCAGAGAGAGAGGTGTCTCTGATCTGCAGCATCATTCTCCTGTACATTATCTTAATGCTAAGCCCCAGGTGAACAGAAATCAACATTATGCTCAATCTCACATCTGAGAGGAAACCTGAGGGGGGTTGAAAATTATTTTGTTAGCCTCTGACCCAGATGAGCCACTGTGGGCTCAGTCTGTCCACTGAAGAATAAAATTGCTAAACATGATTCCTTGCTGTCTGATGGTGGGTGGGTTTTGTAGTGTTTAAAGACTGTATGTCAGAGTTGCTACTGCACTGGCACAAGAAGCTATTCCTGTCATTTTGAACTTGTTTTGTATGTAATATAGCTCCAGTTATGAGCTTTTGTGGATCTAATGTTGTGTGTGAATTTGTAGCTGTCATTAAATTATTTATTGCAGATGCAGGGTTAGGGGAATGCTGTAAGCGTAAGACTTGTCTCTGAGGACAGAGAAAATGCTTCACCTGCATCCTCACTGGTTTTGCGCTCTCAGTCTCGGGTCAGTGACCGAGACTGAAGGAAACATATGGTGTTTGTGGCTTGTGCCGGTAGGTTGGATTGTACCTCGAAAAATCCCAGCACTCCTTGGTGCACTGTCTAGGGCTTTGCATAAACAAATGGGCTGATTTACAAGTCTAGTTGTGAGATGAATGTACTAAGATTCAGTTTGAGCTCTGCAATTCAGTCCCAAGGTTAACAAATCAGAAATGCTGCTGCCTATAGGTCTTTTAAAAATATTATTACCTGTTCTGTTGCTGGGGTTCATGTCGCTCTGCACTTTTAAGGTTCATCCCCCCCAGCAGATGGTTCATGGGTGAGGATTAAGACTTCACTCTGTTGCACCTTAATTTCCTAGTAAAGGGCCCAGAGGATTGAGTTATAACTTAACCCCCCCAGGGAGCAGTGCACATTCAAACTAGGCCAAGCCTCCCCATTCTCAAACACACATCCACTCCAGCTGTTATGTTGAACCCAGTGAATGCAAAGCTACACATTTACAAAAAAAGCCACAGAACAGTGATATGCCTTTGTCTAAAATCTCTTAACTAGAACAACATGAAACAAGTGCAAAAGTAGGAGCATTTTAGCTTTTCATGTTGGCCATCTGTATGGCAGCCACAAACTAAGACATGCTGGGGTTAACACTAAAGAACAATATCAGCCCCCTCATATGCACTCATGCACAGCGCAGTGCCAGAGACACAAGTTTGAATTCCTTGGCCGCAGATTGTTAAAAGTCTTACTGCTGCTAGAGAGCCACTTGGTGTCATATGGGCAATGGAGGATGCGATGTTGGACCAGTACTGGCTCACACACATTGTCCATGGTGCGTTACTGTGTTTGGCTTATTGACACCTGGTAGTTTGTTGCCCACAGAGTTTGAATTAGAACACATTATTGCAAAATGATTGATATCTCAACAGCATGGCCACTACTTATCACTAAAAGTCTTACTGCTGCCAGAGAGCCACTTGGTGTCATATGGGCAATGGAGGATGCAATGTTGGACCAGTACTGGCTCACACACATCGTCCATGGTGCGTTACTGTGTTTGGCTTATTGACACCTGGTAGTTTGTTGCCCACAGAGTTTGAATTAGAACACATTATTGCAAAATTCATTGATATCTCAACAGCATGGCCACTATTTATCACAAAAAAATCCCGATGGACAAATTCATCTTTTGGTCATGGTTTAGACACCATAATCTTGCATTGAAGAGGCTTATTCTACCTTTTAGAAATTCCTCACAATGGCTTCATCACTGCCCTTGACCATGTGCCAAACAAATACCCTGCTGTGGAAACTGAACAGCCACGCTGGCCATTATCATTTATTACTAAGCCTAATAGTCTACACTTTAGGATGTGCATGGAGAGATGTGTGGAAACTATCGATTGATCATCTGGGCAGCAGTGTTCAGGAGACTTCGCTGTGTGGATGTGAATTATGACGGAGGTAGTTAGCGGTGGCATTTGGTGCCAGCATGTCACCGGACTGAGAGCAGAGCACGCCTGACAGGAATCTAATCTTCAGCTTCCACATCTGTTTCCTGCTTTTCACTGTAGATCCATTGAATCTGACTTCATTCAGATCCTACTGAATGCATTGTTTTGTGTTTGTGTTCCACGTCTTGCAGAATTTAAGGTATGTCCAATGTGTTGGCTGAAAGAGTGCAGAGTTTACAAAGCCAGGAAAGAGGATGACAGTCGGCCATGATGTAATGTTAAAACAAGCGCTTCTTTTTTAAAGTCTGTCTTGGTACATACATGGCAATGCTAAACGGTTTGATAAAGAACTTTTTGGGGTTTTTACAGAACTTCATTTTACTGTGACACTCTAGAAAGTGGTGAATGGAGCAATGACACATATAGACCCCCTCATTTATACTTTCCTCACAAGTCTGACAGTGTAGTAAAAGTAAACAGATACAAAGACACTGGTACAAAGAAAATGCATCTATGATAAACCTGAGTCACATACTGAAAAGTAACTTTTTCAGCCTCTGCCTAAGAACTAAGTAACTAGTTTTTATCAGAGCGGTTTCATAAACTGTCCTTTCTTAGCAGCATTAGTCAAGTACACCCTATTGTGAGTAAAATTAACATGCAGTGCTGGCTAGCGTTAGCTTGCTTTAACATTTGTTAGTCATTTTCAGGAAAAAAAGAATAGAATTCCATGAAAAGGAAGGGATGTGCAGTTATTTCTATAATACTGTAGCCGACTTAGCTGCATCGAGACGGGGGTTGACAGTAAACATGAATGAGGACAATTAGCCAGCTAGCAGTTAGCCTTAACTGACACATAGAGTGTAATACTGTTTCTCTATTACTATTGAATATTTTGGTGGCACAAATATTTCTGTTTTAGGGATATAACCCCAGGGTCCTTGTGGAAGCTTTTTATTAGACAGTTTTTAAGAGAGTAATTCCCTTAGCTTTATGATTTTCCCACACGTTCTACTGTATGAATCCTCATTTAGATTCAGCTAGAATACGGTTCATGTCCAGTGGTGTTGGTAAGGTCACATTTGGTTGCAGCCCACTGTAAGTGTTCACCTTACCCCCTCTTCACTCTGCTGTGTAGCATCATGTTTTATTAATGTTTGGTCTAAAAGCATAATTGAATGTTTGTTCACTGCTCCTAATCTGCCTCCTGCATGTGATTATGTATCCTGAGCTGCTGTTGTCTGTTTTGTCATGGGGTTCGCTGATGCCACGCTGCTTGGTATTAGTGCCCATTGGAGCCCATTTGCCTTCCTCCCGTGTGGCGTTAGTGGCTCCGATGCCCCCTGTGCTTGACTGTAGTTAAATGAATTGCTGGTTTAACTCATTTTGTTTATGCTTGGTGTGAGAGGCAGATGATTCTGCCTGTTTGCTTTAAATACTGCTCACACTGGGGCTGACTTGGTTTTAGTTTGTTTATTTAAATGTGTGATTGGGGATATATTGCCAAGTTTGAGATGTTGTAAGGCCAGAGTATTTCTTAGGAGGAAATTACTAATTGACGTGTTATTAATGTGCCTTAATAGCTTTTTCAGTGTCTACGCTCATGAACAAGCATTTGTCAAATTAAGAAACCAGAGGAGCTCAGCCTCCCTGATATGATGCTCATATGCAGAATACTGAGAACTGAACAGGGCAACGTAAGCTTTGCAAAAATATTTCATGATTCATCTTCAGCATGTAGACTGCTGCCTATAATGACATCAGAAATATTTGCTGAAATATCTCTGTTTTGTCATCACACACTATCCCAGCACTAGATTTCAGCCCCTCAGCTCAGGTGGATAACCAGATATCCTGTCCTCATGTCACACACACACAGGATAAAACTTTGCTCATCTAGCCAAGAGACATACCCTTACTAGGGCCAAAATATCCCTTTGGCCTATTCATAAAAGCCTTGAGGTGCAGTCTTCTGGTTTGTAGAGATAACAGACTTTTTCCCACTGAGGATAAAACCAGCAGCTGGTTGGTGCATTGTGACTAGTTTTGTCATATTGGATAGAAGTGTAATTTTCTCTGTAAGCCCTCATCCAACAGCGCCTTGGAGTGAGGACCTGGAGACTGATGTGCAGGGTTGTGCCCCAGGTACTTAAGGCAGCAGGTAGTAATGAATGGAGAGGGGACCTTATTTCACTTTGAGGTAATGACGGTGACGAGGCCAGAGTTATAAAT